GTAATGCTTTTTTCCTCAGTTGGTCAGAACAAACGTGGCAGACTTGTTACTTACTTGTTCAGATGACAATATCCTGTGAAAATTATTATTTGGGTCATATATTCCAAGACGTAGGCTAGAATCTGTGATTGCAAAGTACAGTAAATATCCACACCGGTGCGGTGACTGACTGCCACACATACTTCTCAAAACATTAGATTCATCCGCGCTGGAGCCGTGCCGGAACACAACCCACGCAAGGAAGATAATTCCGCACACAGCTGCAATTGCAGGTTTTCAAACAGAGATGGCGACAAAGAGGCAAAATTTACGGACTGCAGCTTTAAATTGTAATAATATTTAACAATAATATTACTGTTTTTACTGTGTTTTTGATTAAATATATGCAACCTAAGTGAGCATAAGAGACTTACAGTACTCTATTTCCAAAACATAAAAAAAAATCCCCAACTTTTGAAATGTAGTGTATATAACACTCAAACTAGTAGCTGTGATCATTAACATCAAAATCTGAGATTTCCTTAACTGTGGGACTTGAGACTTGAATGCAAATCTCCAACTATCCTTTAGGGTCGGCCTTGACTTTCAGCTCATTCCGTCGGTTTGGTAGCCCGACAAGTGTTATATGACAGGAGCCCCGAGATTACGCCCCAAGGACACATTCATGCCGCCCCTGGAACCTAATGTACAAATGCGTTTCTATGGAGACGGGTTCAGCGTAAATCTCATTCGCCGTGCGTCATTGCCCAAGAGGCGCCACCGTTCCCGAGAATTGCGTTTGTGTGCATGCTTGTGATTGACACACGGAGGATGACTGACTTGTGTGAGTTTGTGAACGCATGCTGGGTTATCTGCCGACAGAATTTGGCCTTCGCAAGTGAATATCAATGTACGTTTATCTCAAATGAGAGCTCTATGAATATTGCAGCATTTGTTTGTGGCGTCCCCCTTAGCGTTGTGGTCATGTTTCATCTTTATTCTCTTTGTAAGGCACTGGCTTCCTTCACAGGGTGAGCCGGAAGAGAAAATCTGTGTCTGTAAATTCATCTTTAATCTCTGTCTGTGTTCTGAAGCCTCTCGGAGTGTTGCATGGATGTTAAAATCTTAACTGGGTGCTTTTGAAGGTTCTCGTTTGCCTTTCCCGTTGCCCGTGTGAGATTTATCCAGGGCCACGAACATGGAGGCTGCCATTATCCCTAACTAACCTCCTTGAGTCAAAGAGCGAGTGAAGGAGAGAGCTGTGTGAGGGGGAGAAAAAAAGTGGATTATTAATGTCTTGGCTTATCATGTGCCAACAGCTGTTCCAGAAACTGAAGAACCTGATGAGGCCTTATTCTGTCACGTTTGAGTCACCGCTGGAGCTCTCCGCTCAGGGTGAGACTGTCTGCGATAAAACTGCTGAAATGTGCTTATGCTCACACTCCTACACGCAAATAAACACACATAAACAGACTCTTCCTTGCATGATGTGACATGTAGTAGCTGTTAATGGAGGAATACTGATAGACATTCACTGCATGTTATTTAAAGGGATTCTTCACCCGAAAATGTGAATTCTGACCTTCATGTCATTCCAGACTTGTAGTGTTATTTTTTCTGGGTGGATTCTTCACCCGAAAATGTGAATTCTGACCTTCATGTCATTCCAGACTTGTACAGTGTTATTTTTTCTGTTTTTTTTTTCATACAAATAACATAGATCAGGGTCAGTACGAATACATTTTAACTAATTTACTAATTTGTTTATTTATTGCAAAGAATGCATTACATTTGATGGAAAATGACAGTAAAGATAATGTTTAAATTATATGCTATTCTTTTGAACTTTCTATGTATCAAAGAATCCTATAAAAACATATCACGGTTTCCACAAAAATATTAAGCAGCACAGCTGTTTTTTCAAAATCAAGAATTATAAGAAATGTTTCTCAAGCAGCAAATCAATATATTATAATGATTTCTGAAGGATCATGTGACACTGAAAACGGAAGTAATGGCTGCTGAAAATGTAAAAAAAAAATCAAACTGCATTTGAAAATATATTCAAATAGAAAACAATTTATTTAAATTGTAATTAATTATATGTTACTGTATTAATGTTTTTACTGTATTTTTAATCAAGTAAATGCACCCTTGACTTCTTTCAAAAACATAAAAAATTCTCACAAACCTAAAACTTTTAAAGGTGTGTGTACTGACACTCTGTGCATATTATTTAAGGAATTAAATTTTGTCATTTAATCATGTTGTACCAAACCCATATGAGACCCATATGAGTATGATGACAGATTTTTTCTTTTTGGTTGAACTATGTCTTTAATGTTTTTACTGTATTTTTAATCAAGTAAATGCACCCTTGACTTCTTTCAAAAACATAAAAAATTCTCACAAACCTAAAACTTTTAAAGGTGTGTGTACTGACACTCTGTGCATATTATTTAAGATATTAAATTTTGTCATTTAATCATGTTGTACCAAACCCATATGAGACCCATATGAGTATGATGACAGATTTTTACTTTTTGGTTGAACTATGTCTTTAATGCTCATCTTTAATGGCATGCCCTTTATAGGAAACCAAGTTTATAGGTATTTTTCTTCACCTGTCCTGGGCCAACCGAACAACTCACCCCACCCATCTCTTTCTCTGACTCTTAATTATCTCTCTTCATTCTGTCTTTATCTATATTGTCCCCCACTGCATGCTGTTTTCCAATTACCGCCTGAGCAAATCTATATGGAAGTGTCTGTTCATCATAGAGAGATGTGCTCACATTGAATTCACCAAATGTATTCCAGAATCATTTCTCCCTCTTTGTTCCCCTCTCTTTTAGGCAAAGAGATGATTGAGATGTACTTTGATTTCCGTCTGTTTCGACTTTGGAAAACCCGGCAGCACTCAAAACTCCTCGACTATGAAGATCTCGTGTGACCCCACGCGGGTCAGCGCATAGCATTGCGGGCAGAACGTCCCACTGTAAAACTCCATTCCACCAGCTTTCATTTTGGAATACAGGAGGAAGAGGAGTGGAGATGGACACAGCTGCACCCTCGAGTATTGTTTATTTCAGCTCGCCTCTGTGGACTTCGACCACCTCAGAACGGTAACACTCAACAAAACAAAAACGAATGGCAAGTGGTTCAAAACACAAGAGAAATCCGGATATGTGGTGTTTTTGTTCTCTAATGGAGAAAAGAGAAGCCGTTTCTCAGAACTGGTTGACAGTCTGTCGACTGTTTTTGTTTTGAACTAACCAACAGTTATCGATCACTAGCCCAGACCGTTGTGCTTACAAAAGAGTCCCGCCGAAACTTACCTACCAGAATACAAAAATGGTCATATATGAAATAACAACTAATATATCAGTATACATACAGGATATACATCTCATGAGTATATAGAGTAGCTATAGTCATGCACATAATCTAAATGTCAATGGTACACAATTTACTTTTTCAATGTTTATTGTTGTGGTCTTTCTAATGAACTATTTTGAATAACTCAGGTTTTAGGATCTACAGATATATTAATTACTAACCTATCCAAATGTGTGGAAGTAATTTCGGTGGAAAGAATGTACATTCTGCCAACATACAGTACTTATATGTGATCATTTCAGAGGCTTAGGAATCTTTTGTCAAGTTTTGCTTTTGGCACAACTCATGTCTCCACATTATATGCCAGTATCTGTCCCTCCAACATAAAACATACACTGTAGGCCCACATTGCAAAACACAATCATACACAGTCCCCAAACTGGGAAATCGTGACTTCCAGTCATAATAATAGAAACACTGACCTCAATATAGCCAGACATCTACACCAGGTGCACCTGAAGCGTAGGCAGGAACATAGCATTACAGGGAGACGTTACAGAATTGCTCAAATAAGCGCTTGTGTCAATGTGTTCATAACAATTAGGCTGCTTTCACACTTGGTTTGATTGCTTGGTCTGAACCCGTCTGTGTTTAAACATAGAATTCGGCTTCAAATGGCAGTATATTTGCGCCTTCATCATGTGTACTTCAATGAGTACATGTGGCTGCTATCAAGTGTTATCCAGTTTACTTTTTACTCATGTTTTGTCGGTTTGGTTTTAATACCAAATTTTAATGTGGCAATTCCGTCTGTATTAAATATACACTACCATTCAAAAGTGTGGGGTCTAAAAAATAACACTTTTATTCAGCAAGGATGCATTAACTTGATCAAAGGTGACAGACATTTTTAATGTTGCAAAAGATATCTATTACAAACAAATGCTTTTCTTTTAATCTTTCTGTTTGTCAAAGAATTGTTGGGAATCACTGTTTCCACAAAAAAAAGCAGTACAACCGTTTTCAACATTGATAACAATAAGAATTTTTTCATGAGCAGCAAATCAGCATAATAGAATGATTTCTGAAGGATCATGTGACACTGAAGACTGGAGTAATGATGCTGAAAATTCAGCTTTGCCGTCAAAGCTGACGGCAAACTACATTTTAATGTATATTCAAATAGAAAACACTTATTTTAAATTGCAATACTATTTCACAATATTACTGTTTTTACTGTATTTTTGATCCAATAAAAAAGTCTTGGAGACCATAAATCTAACCTTCCCCAAACCTTTGAATGCTAGTGTATGTATACTAAATAATATGTCATCAATAGCTTCTGGCATCCACAAATAAGGCTGGATTACTTTCATAACAATTGTGAATCATACTTGACTCCACATGAACCCGTTTTCTTGACATGTGTTTGTTTTCATGATATCAGAAGCCGATTTCTCCCCAACCAAATGGATTTGGGTTCACACCATCAGCTTTAGTGTGAAAACAGCCTTTTTTTCATACCTCTCTCTATTTAGTCTAAAGTCGTTGGTGTTGTGGGGTCATGAACAGGCATTATTCTGAAGGTCACTGTTGCCTTATGGGGCAGGATGTTATTTGATGGCCGTACATGGATAATAGAACCATTTAGACCGTTTTATGGCAGCTTGCAGGTGTAAACTCTATGCATTCTTCTTCTTCCATTAGTAGCTTTCAAAGGTTTGGAGCATCTCGGGAGTTGTTTTTCATGTGTATCTTTATGAGTGTTCTAATGTACTCCGCTAATAAGCCATACCCTCTTATAGCAAGCTGCTCAGACTGATGGCTCTTTGATGTGGATGGCTTCAGGCACTCATGAAGAACTTCCAGCTGGTTGAATGATAGAATGTTCTCTTCTCTTGTCTTGTTTTTTTTATTTTTTTTTATGTATCTACAATGCTAATTGGCTACTCCTTTGGTGTTGTTCAGGCAATCTTTAACTTAACTGATAGACAGAATGAGGTCTTGCCCCATGGAAATAAGAGAAGGTATCAAACACCTTTAAATCATCTTACGGCTTCACTTATTTCAATTTAATATGGATACACAACAAAAAATAAGATTTATTTCCCAGAAAAGTAAACACTGTGTTTCAACCAATGGCGTGAGTTGGGGGTGGGACTAATCTGTTCATTCGAAAGGGTTGTTGATGGGGGTGTAACAATACACTCGTCTCATGATTTGATTCGATGCATGATACACAATATTTCCAAACAATACGATACTCTCATGATGCAAACAAAGCCAAAATATAGTTAAAGAGAGAGTTCACCCAAAATGCAAATTCTGTCATATGTGACCCTGGACCACAAAACCAGTCGTTAAGTCGCACGGGTATATTTGTAGCAGTAGCCAACAATACATTGTATGGGTCAAAATGATCGATTTTTCATTTTATGCCAAAAATCATTAGGATATTAAGTAAAGATCATGTTCCATGAAGATATTTTGTAAATTTCCTACCGTAAATATATCAAAAATGTATTATCATTAGTAATATGCATTGCTAAGGACTTCATTTGGACAACTTTAAAGGCGATTTTCTCAATATTTTGATTTTTTTGCACTCTCAGATTACAGATTTTTTAAATAGTTGTATCTCGGCCAAATATTATCAGTTTTCAGATTATGTAAAAATCTCAATTTCCAAAAATGTACCCTTATGACTGGTTTTGTAGTCCAGGGTCACATATTTACTCACCCTCCACTTGTACTAAACCTCTATAAAATTTCTTCCAGCTGTTGGACACAAAAGATATTTTGAAGAAGGTGGGTAACAAAACAGTTAGCCATTGACTTCCATAGTTTGGGGAAAAAAAATACTATAGAAATCAATGGCTACCGTCAACTGTTTGGTTACCCACATTCTTCAAAATATCTTTGTGTGCCTGCGTGTGTGTGTCTGTGTTCAGCAGAAGAAAAAAACTCAAACATGTTTGGAACCAAGTGAAGGGTGCATAAACAATGACAAAATGTTCATTTTCGCGTGAATTATCCCTTTAAAATGATATGTTGTTGTTTTTATTTTTTTTTAATTACTTCTAAGACATATGATAAACAGTTACTGTTTACAAAAAGTACTGCTCATTAAAATGCTAAATTTGGTGTTACATCATTGTGGACTTAGTTTCCAATAGCTTTGGACTAAATGCATGTAAAAGTTTAAAATATTGTATTTATTGTATTAATAATGTATTTTATTTTTAATTTATTAATTATATTTAATAAACATGGAAGCTCAAATGTATGACCTTCTGGGTTTACTATATTTGTTATGCTCCATTACCATATTTGATGCAAATTTTTAACTTGAAACTTTCATTTTGGGTGAACTATACACAAAACATATTGTCGCTATCCACAATACAAATTATTGCATTTCTGTATTATGCTATATTGTGACGCAATATATTGTTACACCCCTAGTTGACGACATACCTATATATGGTACATTCTTAATCACAAATGTTGCAAAAAATGTTTTAGCGTACACATACTACCAAGATATGTTAGAAATTCATGCACTCATTTTAAAGGTACAAAAAGTGATCCAATATGGAAGACATACACAAAAGTTAGTGAAGAAAAGCTTTAAATAGTCTGCAAAGTGGAGTGAGTTTGGATATAGAATACAATAGGGTTCTGTTATCATACGGGACGTTGCTATCTCTCTGGTCTAGCTGACACACCGCTTCCTCTAAAGGGCTGCACCCCGGCCAGAAAATAGGTTGCAAATGAATTGGACCTGATCCTCTAGCAATTCCAGTCATTATGGGGCCATCTGTGACTCGCAGTAGGCATCAGAGAGCCTGGCATGTCAGAGAGAAAGAGAGAGAATCTACAATACTACAGACGGCAACATCACACTAGAGGGAACATTTGGTGGCGAGAGTGAATGTTATCTCGGGACGTCCAGTATGAACAGAATGCATCAAATAGAGGGCAGTCATATCACTCATGTCACTTATTACAACTGTTCTGTACGAATGTTTGCACATTTACTCATTTACTTTTTAATGAATAGTGTTTCAACGCTGTTTGTCGATGTAGCAATATACAGTATGTAACTCCTCTATGATGTAAATGTTAATGTTTTGAGCTTTTTACTCATTTATTATATATTTATGATATTTATTATGTACTTATGCTGGACAGTAATGGCTGATTGTGCAAAGCCTTCTTTCTTTTAGTTACTGAAGAATCTTGATTCTTCTACACACAAAGCTTTGGCAATGTCTGAGGAGTCCACTTTTTAAATTGATCTTTTGATCAATTTAGCTTAAAAAATAAATCTCCTAGTAACACTTTATAATAAGGGTCAATTTGTCAACATTAAGTAATGCATTAGGTACAATAAACAACATGTTTTTATTAATCAGTGTTATTTTAATATTATTTATACACCATTATAGTTATAGTTTTTAAATATATTTTTAATTGGGTTTATTTTTATTTCAGTTTTATATAAATTACCAAAAATGATTTTTAATAGTTTGCTAACAATGACAACTATTTTATTGATATATCTTAATTGTATTCATTTTTATAGAAAAATATTATTGTTCATTGTTACTTCGTAATACTATAAATTAATAATGTATAAATAATGCTAAAAACTAATGTATAATGATCTTAATTTATATAACCTGAAATTAAAATAGTTAAATATATTTGTATATGTAGAAATTAACAGTAACGTTGATTAATAAATGCTGTAAATGTATTGTTAATTTTTAGTTTATGAAACCCTTTACATTGACTACAGTCATGTTAACAAATTGAACCTTATTGTAAAGTCTTACCGATCTCACTTTATGCCAGCTTACTTGTACTTGATGTAAACAGAGGTGGTTTATAGAAGGCTGACAAGTTCAGCTCCTGCCTAAATGTCATCTATAGCCCAACCCCGAACCCCTAGTCCTAAAGATTTGGTGGTAGAGGTTGATTCGAAACCAGCTAACCAACAGAATGTGCATATGTTAAAATTAGCATTGTTTGTTGACAGTTTCATGTGCATGAATGGGCAGTTTGAGCTGTCACTCTACATGATCAGAAGATTGCCTCAGCTTTTACAGTGTTTAGCCATCTAATGTATTCCTATTGTTGGGCCTAAACTAATTATGTGTAAAAATGTATTAAAGGAGCGGTGCTGTAATTTTTTTTTAGACAAAAGATTTATTTATTCAAACATACAAGGTATTTTTATGAGACTTTATGGACAACAGTATGTCTGTATTTGTTTTTATTCACAGTTTTAGTAGCCTTTATTAGGCATTACAGTCAAGAAGGTCTATAATATCTGGAGAAAGCTATCTGTTAGCATTTCCATTCATCACAACTGCACTTCCCAAAAGTATGTGATTTTAAAATATTCCATTTTTGCTCATAGTTAGGTCTGCATCATGGTAAAAAGTCAATTCCTTTCTTCTAAGAGCCCTGATAAAAGGCTTTTTGTGCTATGGACTATCAGGTACTAACCTGGTTAAGCCAACTAGCTGAACCTTGACCTCTTGAGTATTTACACTCATAAATCTTGCATTGGTTGGCTACAATCATCAAATCCAGCTTGTGATTCCAGTGAGAGCACAAAGAAAAATATTAGATGTAGTATATACAGTATTATTTTATATCTAATGCATATATAAGCCTTTTTCCACCATGCAAACAGGGCTTTCATAAATTTCAACTCTTCGTGATCATGCACTACACTTGTTAATGCATTTAAACGGTTCTCTGGTCGCTTGTATACCGAATTAATTTCTAGCGAAGGTGCAGTTACA